AAAAAAAAAAAAAAAAAAAAAAAAAAAAAAAAAAAAAAAAGTGTCATTGATCTGAATAATGAATTAGGTAGTACAAATCAAGTGAATGCCAATACAAATTTTTGCCACTTCAGACACTCTGAATTAAGTTTGCCCCTCTAGTACATTTAATAAATGCAAAACATCTGAATGTTCAAAAATATTATTGGGTCTATTTCTCGTAGCCTTGATCTTTAACAGCAGGTACTACTAAGCATACAGCTAACTCAACCATACAATTTCAAAGAGAGAATTCCCAGTAGTAAATATTTGAACCTTACAAAACTTATTCTGTTAAAACTCACCAGAGGTACAAAATCATTGAATCATAGAATCCCAAGGTTCAAAAGGACCTATAAGATCATCCAGTCCAACCGTCCTCCTATTGCCACTGCTACCACAAGCACTAAACCATACCTCACAGCTCCTCATCCAGGCACCTCTTGAACGCTGCCAGGGACAGTGACTCCACCACCTCCCTGGGCAGCCATTCCAGTGCCTGACCACTCTCTGAGAAAAAAAGTTCTTCCTTATGTCTAACCTAAACTTCCTCTGGTACAACTTGTGGCCATTTCCTCAGGTCCTTTTTGTTGCCTGGAAGAAGAGGCCAAGCCCCTCCTCATCCTCCTTTCAGGAAGTTACAGTATGCAGGTAGCGCAGATAAGAATGCTATGACTTTAAAATCTGAACATGTCAGAAAGGATTTTTCTTGATAACCTAGCAATTTCTTCTTTGCACAGGCATGTTGCAAAAGCTGCTTGTGAAATTCTGTACTTTGATGAGGTATATCAGATACTACACTTTGGTTCAGGGCAAAATTTCATCCTTATATGTTTTGGATAATAGTAATCTGGTAAGAAAAAAATCCTTGTTTTGGAGAAAAGAAAGAAATCCATCTTTGACGGGTTTGGGGAAAAAAAAATAACAGCTGTTTGAAGCTGCTCAGAGGTTTGGAATGTTAGAATAAATACTTGGGAAGATAGATTAATGGGACAAACTGCAGGTGAGACACTCAAAGGTGCGTGGTAAATATAATTTATCAGTGCACGTGACCACCACATATGCAATATGTTTTGCACACGGTATGGTCATTAGCTAAAAAGCATGTGCCACTTTAACACTTGAAGAAATGCCGCTTCCAAAAATGCACAGTACCAAAACACCCGCAGGCCCTTACCTGAAGCAAACACGCTAAGTACCTTCACATAACTCTGGGTAGTTCAAAACCTTGCTGCAAGGCTACAATGAGCTAATATACCGACTGAATATACATTGCAGTGCTTTACAGATGGAACTGGAGCTGCTCGACTATTAGTGTGGCAAACACAGTATCAGGAACAGTCAAAAGGTTTCCCTTCCTTCCGGGGTAGACCACAGTGTTTAAGGTGCACATATGTACACATATATTATGCTTACCTATGTTTATGGGTATATATATATATAAAAATATACATATCTATCTATAACACAAATAATGGGGAGCTGAGGAGTCCCTGCAGGATTCCAAAAAAATTGTCTGTGGATATGACAACAGCATTTTATTCTCCTTGAACTGAACCATAAGAATTCCTAGTGTTTATTACAGCTATGCCTTTTCTGCTTCCCATTCTAGTACAAAATGTACGTGCACAAGAATAAAATTTGGAAATTATACCATGTATCAATCAATTAGCTAACCTTTACACTGACAGGATTGTCATAATTTGTCTTCTTGTACATCTTTTCAATATATGTATTTTCAGTACACACATTACTTACCAAGCTAAAGTATTTACCTTGGTGATTAATTGTATTTCTGTCTATATAAATTTCCTCATGGATACATATCCTGAGTATAATTCCTATCCCTGTACGTATCTGCACTCTCAGCAGGTGCTGTAGAGAAAAACATGAGTGAAGCTGATCATTCCCAAGGCATGAAGAAAGCAGCAAAAGATAAAAGACTTCCTTGGTATCCTGCTGTTTGTGGAATGGGTGAACACTTGAAGCATTCCCGAAGCTTTGTGCACAGGAGCTATGCACAGTGCATGAGAGCTGAGAGTTTATTTCTGTGGTATTCCCTGATGACACTCTGAAACTGTTCCTGTGATATACAGGAGGAGTATGAAATACTTGCTGTGGAATGGAAAGTTAATGACTTTGCTTTGACCTGTTGTTGACAGCTGTTACCAATATGAAATACTTTATTGAGAATTTTAGTTCCATGTTCGTGACTGTATTATTTCTTAGTGTATCTAAAATTTGCTCCTTACCTAGTTGAGATATCTATACATCCTAGAACATGAAAAGTTCTAGCAGAAGTTAAGATAATAAAAAGGGAAGCACTGATTTAATTGGCACCAATCAGGTGCAAATTAACAAAATGTGATAAAGATCATGCCTGAACGAATTTACAGAGGTTTGGAGGTTTGGGAAACTGCCTGCTCAGAGTCAAAATGCAGCTACAAAATTTTAT